TAATTTAAAAAAAAATTCACGTATGTTACATAAAATTACTTATTTTGTTTTATAGATAATAAAAATATGCTAAATGAATCTAATAAAATATTTAATTTAATTACCTCTTAAATATTTTAAAATATCATGAATTAGAGGTTGTTTGGATCTCCTTTAACCATTAAGAGCCCTAATTTTATTGTACACAATTAACAAACAGTTATATTTCATTTTGCGTTATATCATGAGAGTCTCTTAATCATTCTGACCGCTTAATCATTCTGCATTACTTAATCATTTTGCACCAAATCATTCAGTAATTACCAAACAACCCCTTAATTAGGATATGTGAGGCTGACACTTTTATGTTTATTTATATTATATCTAATGGTTATTTATAATCATTAATTAATATATTTTTTTTTCTAAAATTTGTTTAACAAACCCAAAATTTATAATAATCAATTTGAAATTCTTTTAGCCAACATAAATAAATATATTATAATCTTTTACAGATTTGTTTTAATTATGTTATTAAATATTGTAATTGATTAATTTTTCAAGATGCATTTATGATAATTTTACATGTTTATAAGCTAGTTTTTATCAAATATAATTTGATAATTAGTTAGCTTATCAGTTACCAATTAATTGCCTTATCAGCTAGTTTTGCCAAATATACTGCTAAGTTAATGAAGGATTTCTAACATATTTACTATCAGGAACGAAAGTATCAATAAATTATAAATCATAAAAATAAAAATTGCAATTTTTAAACCACAAAAAACGAAAATCACAATATTTTATCAAAGATGAAAATCATATCGTAGTTTACTTTAAAACTAAGTTCCCTTTTAATTTGCAGGAACGGAGAGGATTTGGGCATTCCAATCCCATGTTTGTTTTGTTGGATCATCCAGATTTGAAATTCTAAGATTTAATTGAAATCATAGAAACATAAGATTTTGAAATTTTTAGAGGATGCTTGGGATTTCATGAGATTTCATAGGATTGTATAAAATAAGATTTTAAATAATATTAGCAGTATTTGTTTTATAATAATCGATTAATAAAACTATAATTTAATTATTTTTATAATTACTTATATTTTTTTATAAATTATTTATAAATAATGGAACCCAACTCTATTTCAAATCTTACAAATCAAACACACCAATAATTTTAAATCTATTCCAATTTAGGGGTCGTTTACCAAATACTTACTCAGATAAATGCTTACCAAATCACATTACCTTACGAGATGAATATGACAAGTACCAATAATCTTACTTGATAAGTGCTAAAGTAAGGACCAAGAACTTGTTTGGTAAGTGATAATGACAACTTTTACCATGATTAATGTTTACCAAATAAATTGTTGCATATAATATCATTTTAGTGGATTAAAATCTTATCTTATAAATAAATAATAATATTAATTTTTATTAATAAACCACCCTTACTTACTTCCATAAAATCCAGATGATTCAAAAACATTTGTGTAAACCAACAATCCTACAAACCAACGTATCTTAATAGCATGTTTGGTTGTTTGGCGGTAAGTGAAACCTAACCATGGTTAAACTAATAGTGTGCTTGGTTGTTTGGCGGTAAGAAGGGAAACCTAACCATAGTTAACGAGAGTTAGGTGTGGTAGACGTTGCCTCCGGTTTCTTTTCTTCCCCCTCTCCGCTCCCCCCATAAAAACCCCCTCCAATCAACATGTATTCCCCAACTACACCTACCAATCAATATTCACTGTGTGGAGTGAGAATCTAGAGAGAGAAAGCTCTCAATCTTTCGATTTTCACTCTATAACACGCACTATTTCTCGAGAATATCGTTTTCTTGCCGGCAAGGAATTTTTGTTGTTTAATCGGTTTAAATATGCAATCGGATTCCGTAAAAGTGTCTCCGTTCGATCTGATGTCTGCAGTTCTGAACGGGAAAGTGATTGAGACATTAAACGCATCGGAATCGGTAGAATCATTGATGCCACCGGCGTTGAAGATGCTGATGGAGAATCATGAGCTGCTTACGTTGTTTACGACGTCGGTTGCTGTATTAATAGGATGTGTTATTCTTTTGGTGTGGCGGAGATCGTCTACGAAGAAAGCTGTTAAGGATTTGGAGCCACTGAAGGTCGTTGCACCCAAGAGAGAGAAGGAACCTGAGGTTGATGATGGCAAGAAGAAAGTTACGATTTTCTTCGGAACCCAAACTGGAACCGCTGAAGGTTTCGCTAAGGTGAAGCACAACTACTGACGCATAATTGAATATGCCACAAACGTTTTCTCAACTGTTTTATTATAGATTAAAATACTTTGTGCTTTATTTTTTTGACATCATTGTTGTTTTTCTGAAGGCACTTTTAGAGGAAGCCAAAGTTCGATATGAAAAGGCCGCCTTTAAAGTAATTGATTTGGTGAGTTTTGGCTTTCCTAGTTCAAATTTTAGATGCTACACTAAAATAAGAATTATTGATACTTGATCCGGAGGTACTTGATTCTTTAAAGGATTGGCCTATCAGCTAATTGAATGTTGAATTCCTACAATTCTTTTGATCATAGGATGATTATGCTGCTGATGATGATGAGTATGAGGAGAAACTTAAGAAAGAGTCTTTGGTCTTTTTCTTTTTAGCGACGTAAGTTGTATATTAATTGCTACCCACTCTTTGTATTTATTTATTCATTTATTTTAAGCATATAACAGCATAAAATTGTATAAGGCTGATATTTGATTGTGTAGGTATGGAGATGGTGAGCCAACAGATAATGCTGCTAGATTTTATAAATGGTTTACAGAGGTAAATGTTTTGTGCCTGCTAAATCAACGTGGTGATATCCAAATTGGTTATGGTGTTAAAATAGATTTTTTTGTACTCGTGTAGGGGGATGCGAAAGGAGAATGGCTTAATAAACTTCAATACGGAGTGTTTGGCCTTGGCAACAGGCAGTATGAACATTTCAACAAGGTAATGATCAATATTATTTCATTTTCTTGATAAATGAAGCAGCTGCCAGCATTCTCGAGGTTTTGTATTGCATTACATTTAGGCTGAATCTTATCTTTGTTTTCTCATTGTTTGTAGATTGCAAAGGTGGTCGATGAGAGTCTCGCAGAGCAGGGTATGTGCACTTTCCTAAAGTTTCAGTGATGAACTCTTTGTTTCTCATTTAACAAGCATTCCTTCATCATGAGCACACTGCTTTTATGCTAATAAATTCAACAATTCATGCACCACATAGGAGGCACAAATTGCCATATGTGTTACATTTTCTTCTCCGAATCTTTCTGCTGTCTGGGAGTTGTTATTATTTTCCCTACTCATACTAATCTGAGTGCAAAGAAAAATTATCCCAAAACAAAATCCTGTTATGAACTCAATCCATCGGTTTAACCACTGGTAAAAAAAATCGTTGTGTTCATACTTTTGTTGTGTTATTATGCTGATACCATTGAACCTGTTGTACCATTCAGGCATTCACCAAATTGTTTTATGTGCTTCTGCATTGAGGATGTCTTTCTCAGTTACTATTTGGAGATATATAGTTGATGATGAATGATTGAGGAACTGTGGTTTTCTATGAACAATCACACAATTTCTGCCACATGCTTCATGGCATATGCGTATAGAAATTAGCCGGTTTCTAACTTATTGTTGTGTGTTTGCCTTTTTGTCTAAATGTATAGTTATTACCTTTTGCAGGTGCAAAACGCCTTGTTCCTGTTGGCCTTGGAGATGATGATCAATGTATTGAAGATGATTTTTCTGCATGGTATTAAGAAGACTTTTTAATTCAGAATGTCAAGTTATATAGTGGTTGATAAATACATCTACGGATGAATTTGTAATATGTTACCACAATTTTGATTTTTAGGAAAGAGTTGGTGTGGCCTGACTTGGACCAATTGCTGCGTGACGAGGATGACACGACTGCTGCCACTCCTTACACAGCTGCTGTTTTGGAATACCGTGTTATATATCACGACAAACCTGACCCATCTGCAGAAGATCAAAGTCATACAAATGGTCATGCTATTCATGATGCTCAGCATCCGTGCAGGTATCAAGATATATTCGGTGTCTGGATGTTATGTTCTAACCTAAATGCATATATAGTAAACTGACGTAAATCCCATATTTTAAAAGATCCAATGTGGCATTCAAAAAGGAGCTGCACACCCCTGAATCTGATCGCTCTTGCACTCATCTGGAGTTTGACATTGCTCATACTGGACTATCGTAAGTCACTCCTTCAGTTTACTTGCTTTAATGATCTCTATATTTGTCGTTTTTTGATATAAACCTCTGGTGTCAACAAGGTTGATTGGTTCCATTTGATGTTAAGTACAATGAGGGGGTTTCTATAAAGCTCTTGTAGTTAATAACTTACCTGAAGTTATAGCTGCTAAAAATCTATTTTATCTTATTTTCAGATACGAAACAGGGGATCATATTGGTGTTTACTGTGAGAATCTAAGCGAGGTTGTGGAGGAGGCTGTGAGATTAGTAGGCTTAGCACCGGACAGTTATTTCTCAATCCACACCGATAAGGAGGATGGAACACCAATTGGTGGAGCCTCCTTACCACCTCCTTTCCCTGCATGCACTTTAAGAAATGCATTGGCTCACTTCGCAGATGTTCTGAGTTCTCCCAAAAAGGTATGCCTTCACATTTCCTTGTTAAAATGCTACAAATTTGAATTCCCATCTGAAACTGAAACCTAAAAAAGCTTTTATACCGATGTATTTCAGTCTGCTTTGGTTGCTCTGGCTGCTCATGCTTCTGATCCCAGTGAAGCTGACCGACTAAAATTTCTAGCATCACCTGCTGGCAAGGTTGGTATTTTTTTCATGCCAATAAATATTGGTCTTGGTCAATGGTCTTTGTGTTAATTATGGAAATTAATATTTTCATTTTCTTGTATTTATGGTTCTTCAGGATGAATATGCTCAATGGATAGTTGCAAGCCAGAGAAGTCTTCTTGAGGTCATGGAGGCATTCCCGTCAGCTAAGCCTCCGCTTGGCGTTTTCTTTGCAGCTGTTGCCCCACGCTTGCAGCCCCGATACTACTCTATTTCTTCTTCTCCAAAGTGAGTAGATATCACCCAAGCCACTAAACTAAGCTCCGTTTCAATACAAAACAACATCATAATTTAATTATACCTGGCCGTTGTAGTTTTTGTTAGTTCTCAATGGCCTTTTCGTAAAATATCGATGAAGTGCAAATTAAGCAACTCCAATGCTTTTATGTTTACAGGATGGCACCAAATAAAATTCATGTCACTTGTGCATTAGTCTATGAGAAAACACCTTCAGGTCGCATCCACAAAGGAGTGTGTTCAACCTGGATGAAGGTATGATTCCAGTTTCTATATCTATAGCGTCTAGTGACATACATACATATATATATATATATATATATAATGTAAAAATATGGACTTGGACTGAATCAAATCGATAACTTGAGATGTATTTTTCAGAATGCTGTGCCTATGACTGAAAGTCAAGATTGTAGCTGGGCACCCGTTTTTGTAAGAACATCAAACTTCAGACTTCCGGGCGACCCTAAAGTCCCAGTTATCATGATTGGTCCTGGCACTGGACTGGCTCCTTTCAGGGGTTTCCTTCAGGAAAGATTAGCTTTGAAGGAAGCTGGAACCGAGCTGGGATCATCTATTTTATTCTTTGGATGCAGGAACCGCAAAGTGGTAAGTCAAAACTATATACCATCTTATTTTACAATTGATTCAGTTATTATAATGGTGGTGTTATATATTTTCAGGATTTCATATACGAGGATGAACTAAACAACTTTGTTGAGACGGGTGCTCTTTCTGAGCTTATCGTTGCTTTCTCCCGTGAAGGCCCGACTAAGGAATATGTGCAACATAAAATGAACCAGAAAGCTTCAGATTTATGGAAGTTGCTTTCAGAGGGTGCATATTTATATGTATGTGGTGATGCTAAAGGCATGGCTAGAGATGTACACCGAACCCTCCACACCATTGTGCAACAACAGGTATATTGTTGATTAATCTATCTTTGATTCACTTGTCTCTTAGGTTCAACCACCCTGGTTCCACACTACTTTTGTATGCGTAATAGATCATATATAGCATAAGCATGCATGCATGCAGATGCAGGAGTAATTAATATAAAAAATTGGGTAATTTTGATCACTTTTAATCTCATTGCCACCCATGAATTGCGCTTTAAAAAGAAATTGATCCGGTGCATCCTAGTGCACCTCATTAGTGATGACATTCAATTAGGATCGATCTAAGGGTGGAGATCTCTTCTTACGTTTTTCACCATAATTTACCTTCTCCAACCCAACCCAACCCAACCCAACCCAACCCAACCCTATGTTGTTTTTGTAAATGATTGTGGGTCCATTCTCAACCAATTACGAGGACCGCACAATAAAATTCTTGGTTGTTAACAAAATGACACACAATAAGATTTATTGGTAAAAAGCATCGTCATCTTAGAGTTGCGTAAAAGACAATAACTTTTCATTTATTTTGATAATTCCAGGGATCTCTAGAGTCGTCCAAGGCAGAGGTGTACGTGAAGAATCTGCAAACATCAGGAAGATACCTTCGTGATGTTTGGTAATCAAATCTCAATTGAAGAAATTAGTTTTGGCTTAATCCATTCAGATTTTTCTTCATCTTTCCTACAAATTAATTAATGGTTACTACTTGCTACTAGATCTGATGATGATGAGATGGGTCCTTTTTCTTTTTATATAGGAATCCAAGGTCTAGTATGTCTTGTAGTAAACATGTATGTATTATTATTTTTACGAACCCACCCAATTAATTGGTATACTTTATGATATGATGTTTGTATCATAATCATCCTAGGATTTTAAATCACCTATTTGTGTTGAGTTATAAAACAACAAATTACAAGATAAAAAGGTTGTTCGGTTGGTTTTTCATTATGAATTAAATTATATGTATGAATTAACTTAAGTTGTTTTTTATTATTTGTATTGAATAAGTTATCTAAACGACCATTTAACTCTTACGTTTTGTTTTTCATGAATATGCTACAATCCTAACTCAAAAGGGGATACTAATTAACATTGCTAAATACATCCTCAATATTTTTCTTCTCACACGAGTTAATATATTTTCATTACATGACTTGACCTGATTATAAGTATAAAGTAAATTACATACAAGTTTGATGTCTAAATTTACTTTTGTTCATTTTCTGAGACAATATTAGTTTAATTCCTCATCCTTAGAAAAAAATAATTTAAAAATCAATTTGATTTTGATATAATATAATCTTTATTTTAAAACGAGATTATCGGCCCAAGAATTGGAAGTGTTAATTATAAGAGGGGCAACGCGTTTCGAGGAAAGGCAAAGGCGCGATGCGGTCGGCGAACGTAGCTCTTCTTGGTCCTCCACAAACACCTTTGCAACACATGATTTACTCAAACTTTTAACATGCTTTATTCTTTTAGGTATATACTGCAAAATAAACCCATGTTGGCTAATTAAAATAAAATAAAATAAGTTTAAATGGGTAAACATAAAAAATCCGTACATGAATTATGTTTGATCAGGAAATCCCTCAACTTATTAAACAAGAATAAGGATACCCATCCACCTTTGTAATAAATTTTTATTTATACTGTATACTATATATAAAAGCTCGTAAAAAGGATTACAATATGGGTTTGATGGTTTTTAAATAAAGTTTTGGTGATATGACAACTTTGAATGTATAAAATTTCAATTATTTGTGTTTCAATTATGTTTATTTGATATTACTCTTATACAGATACAACAATCAAAGTTATATTGATTCAAGTTTAGCATGACATGTCGTGTAAATATAAAGTTGAAATTTATATATAAAAAATTGATTTTGTAAATAGAGAAATATCCTCAATTCTCCGGCGGGGATCCCTCTTCCCCGATAAAGATTGGGATAAGAATGGAAACTCATTCCCTAATTGTGGTGGAGATGAGATTACTAAGGATCGGGAACGGGATCGGGATCGACAATAGGGATGGGGATAGAGATGAAGATGGGAGTGTGCCTCGATATTCCTGTCGTTACCATCTCCAGTAAAGTTTTTGGCAAAATTATAAAATAAAAATAAATGAAAAAGAAAGCAATATTATTTGAGATCTTAAAACAACCTACAAAACTTATGAAAACAATTACGTGCTTTTCACATATCTAATGATTTTTTTTGTTAATTTGCTTCCCAATGAGAAAATAAGGATCCATCTCAGTTTCTAATATTTTTAAAATTAAAATAAACGATAGAAACTTTTACAATTAAATATAAATTTCTCAGTTTTGAGTTCTACCTCTCTATTTTTTTAAAAATTAGAAGGATACTCATGCAATACAATGAGATAAATCTTCATTTTAATGTTTAATTTTTATTCTTTGTCTCTATCGATATCATACGATTTTATATGGTTTTGAGAAAGTGATAATATTTTTATTTTTTAATAAAATATAAATTTAAAAATATAAAATAAAATCAATATTAGTATCAAACTAACTATTTAATAGTTCTCGTTTTTTATGTAACTTCTTTAATTAAATTTTTTATTATAATTTAATTTTGATTTAATAACAAAATAATTTATTTTTGGTTTAATAATATAATTTTTTATAAAGATAATAATTAAAATTTTGTTGGAACTTAATGATTATCTTAATTACATTTTAGAATTTTTATATTTAAAATGGATGTTTATACCGTATTTGATTATGTTTATCTGCAGTTAGTTACACGAATTTAAAACAAAGCTTTAATAAGTTGTACTTATGAAAAATTACTTGTAATCTTGAATTTTAAATAATATGCATCAATAAACAATAATTTATACATAAAAAAAATGGTTTTTAAAATTTTTTATCAAATGTTTTATAATATAGTATAGATTATATAAGTTTAATTGAAATTAAGATTTTATAATTCATATTTAATGGCTCAGTACAATTTTTTTTATTTAAAAAAGTACTTTTTTTTTTTTAATTTTAAATGCTTTTTTTTGGGAGGAAGTAAATTAATTTAGTGGAAGGAATTAAGCCAACTTTTACTTGAAGCATCAAAAGTACCATCCCAATGAATGTGTATTAATTAATAATTAAATAATTAAAAAAAGGGAACAGATAGCACACACCATCTTTTTGCATTCACAAGCAAACATCCCTCTCCTCTCTATGTTTACCTACCTCACTTGTGTTTTACTATTTATTTTTATTTTATTTTTGGGTAAAAGATACAATTTGTTGAATAAAATGCAACAAATTTGTCACTTTCTCTAACACCCGGATTTTGGGTATGTTTTTTTAGGTTTTAAATAAATTTTTATCCTAAAATTAACCCTTAGATCAAATTTAGTGGTTTGTGTTTTGGTAATAGGAGAAAACTAAAGAAAATCTGAAAATTTCGCACCCACAAAGGAAATCCAATGGTTAGGGACTAAAGGCAGAAAAAGTCGAAAGTATCATGGAGGAGGCTGTATAGAATGTCAGAAACATAATCATAATATTTTTTTTATTTGGGTTGTCATCAAAATTACAACACGGACCATAGAAAACCTTAAATGCACACACAAAGGGTCGCACCCTTTGACACCAACCAACACACCCCTTTACAAACGACACCCCTGTTTACTAACAGGTGCGACATTTAACATAACTAACTATTTTAATTGTCATATAACTAACTTAACGGTTAAGTGTCTAACTTAATTTTATCATTCTCCTTTAGTTAGACATGGAAGAACCTTTAAGCGATGCTTCATAATGTTAAACGATCCAAGCTGAAGAGCTTTGGTGAAACAATCTGCAAGCTGATCTCTTGAACCATATAATTCAATTTTGACTTCTTCGTTGGAGACCAATTCCCTGATAAAATGAAACTTAATCCTGATGTGTTTACTTTTTCCGTGAAATATGGGATTTTTTGATAATGCGATAGTAGATTTATTATCGCAAAAAATAGAAGTAGGATCGGACTGTGGATGATCCAATTCATGTAGAATGCCTCGTAACCATATAGCCTGACAACCAGCAACAGAAAGGGACATGTATTCAGCTTCAGCTGATGATAAAGCCACAGTACCTTGTTTTTTTGATTGCTAGGACACTGCTCCGGAACCCAGATTGAAAATGTACCCTCTTATATTTCTTCCATCATCTAGGTTCCCCCCAAAGTCACTATCACTGAATCCTATTAGCCTGAAATTACTTGAATTGGAGTAGAAAATTCCATGGTTTAGAGTACCATTGACATATCGYAGTATCCTCTTCCCAGCCTCCCAATGGCTTACTTTGGGCAATTCCATAAATCTACTCAACATGCTTACAGAAAAGACCAAATCAGGTCTTGTGGCAGTCAAATACATAAGAATGCCAATCATACTTTTGAATAAGGACTGTCAACATTTTCTTCTCTACTTTCTTTGGATAGTTTAACCCCAAAATCCATAGGAGTGGTAGCAGGTGTGGAATTTTCCATGTTAAATTTCTTTACTAAGTTTTGAGCATACCTCTCTTGAAGGATTCTTATTCCATCTTCACTTTGTCTTACTTCTATGCCCAAAAAATAGTGCAAGAAGCCCATATCAGTCATGTCAAATTCCCTCTTCATGTTGTCTTTGAAACCTTTGAATAATTCACTTGAATTTCCTGTAAATACGAGGTCATCAACATAGATGCAAACTATCAAGATCATACCTTGTTGCTTGTGAATGAACAAAGTGTGTTCTTGAGGACACTTTATGAAGTCATGTGTTAGAAAATAGTTTTCAATCCGGCTATATCATGCCCTTGGGGCCTGCTTCAGACCGTATAAGGCCTTCTTCAAGTGGCACACCTTGTATTCTTCTCCCTTTTTTATGTAGCCTTCAGGTTGTTCTATATAAACATCTTCTTTAAGRATACCATTGAGAAAAGCTGATTTTACATCCATTTGATGTACCATCCACCTGTTATGAGCATCAATAGCCAATACTAGTCTCACTGTTTCCATTCTGATAACTGGTGCAAACACTTCTTGATAATCAATTCCCAACTTTTGCTTGTACCCTTTTACAACTAGTCTTGCCTTGAACCTGTCAACTTCACCCTTTCCATTTAGCTTGGTTTTATAAATCCACTTAACTTCAATTGATTTACAACCTTTTGGAAGATCAACTAACTCCCATGTGTTATTCTTTGTAATGGCTTGTATTTCAGTATCCATAGCATCCCTCCATTTTTTTATCATGCCATGCTTCTTGAAAAAATACTGGATCAACATCACAAAAGAGAACAAAATCTGCATTCTCATTCAAATCCCGACTTCTTGGATCATTATATATGTCCACTAGGCTCCTGTACCCTCTTCTAGGTGGACTTTTAGGTGATTCGGTTTGAGGACTTGAACTCTCAACAGTTTGAGGAGTTGTAGGTGTTGAGGGAGGATCCATTTGATTACTTGAAGTGTGTTCATTTTGATTTGTTGATTCACTTTCTGTCCTTCTTCAACTGGTGTGATCCATGGACTTGACACTTCCTTTTCTTCAAGGTCTGATGGGCTATTCCATTCTTTTCCTTCCTCAAATACAACATCCCTGCTGACTATAGGTCTTTTTATGACAGGATTATATAGCTTATAGGCCTTGGACTTATTACTATAACCAATAAATATGGTTTTTTCAGATTTATCATCTAGCTTACTTCTCTTTTGTTCAGGAATGAAAGAGTATGCTAAACACCCAAAAGTTCTAAGATGACCTACTGTGGGCTTGAAACCAGTCCAAGCCTCTTGAGGAGTCATGTCAGTAAGTCCCTTAGTGGTAGTTCTGTTCATTAGATAGCATGCACAAGCCACTGCTTCTGCCCAATATGAGTTGTCTAGATGTTTACTCTTGATCATACTCCTAGCTTTTTCAATTATAGTTCTATTTA